TTTGTGTGTATTATTATTACTTCCTGCGTCTGCAGCATCTTTGAGTGGGTGCTGACGTAGGGATGACACATACACGTTTTTTACCAAACATACGCTTGAAGAGTTTCCGTACAATGGTATCATTTTTTATGGGATCTGAAGTGAAAAGTTTATGAACAAATGAATGGAGGGAGTAGCCATGTGCTCTATGAACTAAGTATAGCACACAATATTCTCCACACACCATAGAATCAACAGCTTGCAAACTGGTGTGATTATATGTCCATTTTCTACAGAGTCTGTTTAGAAATCTTTTGTGATGTGCCACAAGGGGTGGAAAACCATACGAATCCCAGTATTCGCCCACACCGTGTTTATCAATGTAAAACGCGACCCAGTGTTGCCCTGGCTTGGATACGGGGTCTGTATTGCAAATAAGAAGAGCGGGACGATTGTGCAGAGTGCGAGGAAGAGTATCCGCTGCAAACACGCCCTCAAAGAGAGGGGACACATGCTTGTCACGTCGCATCAGAGTGTCGAGAGTAAGTCCGTCCATTTTCATACGTTGTAGTCAACGATAACATTACGGTCCTTATCTATCTGAAGTAGTGATTAAAATTTTGCAAACACGATGCAATTTATAGGGCTTGCAAGAGGTGCCGCAAATCGGATATCGAGACGTAGTGAACCGTGTCTTTGCAAGTTCCAATGTGGTTGACTGGCTGAGAGATCTGGTGTCAGATCGAACGCATAAATCGTATTGCCTTTAGCGTAGTCTTTCCAGCTAATATTGTTTCCCTCGTCTTTCCAGTGTATACCTGTTCCACTGAACAGAGTGTTATATGCCTCAATATAGAGATCATTAGTGAAATCAGGCGTCAGTGGCTGTGATGGAACGTTTTCTCCGTCATTCTTCAACTGAATGTGGTTCACGTGAAAATGAGGGATATGAAATGGATTGCGTTTGAAATCTCCGTTAAATGCCCGATTGTCAACCATAAATACAATGATTCTCTGTGACATTTGATTAAGCAGGATGTTATCAATCGTCTTGTCTCTCAAGCCTTGTCCGATCGTTATGGTCTTAATAACAACACGGGTTAGGGGGTATTTTGCGGGCGCCTTTTCCAGAACTTGGGCGTGTGCTAGTAGGACTGATGGTGAAATTGTGACTTTACGAACAACGAGTTTGAGGTCCAAGAGCTTCAGTTTTTCTGTGCCCTTAGTGGACATGAGAACGAATGCATCACGGCTGCGAGTGAGTTTTAGCCTCAGAGTACAGTTGTTCAGAAGGAGGCGGTTCGAGTTAGCAATGTCGAGGTGAAGAGGTCCATACATTTCAAAGACCTTGCTGTTTGCCGTACGTGCACGGCGTGCTGCTAGACCTAGATTTTCTGCCCCGTCAAGTGAGTCAAAGTGACCGGGTGTATCCTCGTACCACATGCGCTGTTGTAGATGGGTATTCTTTGCACTTTTATCATAATTTAGTAGTGCCTCAACGTAAGCGCGATAGGGATAAGTCATGCTCGACTGTGAAATAACAGTCCCGTTAATGCTCGTGTCTATTTGCGACCACATAGCATGGAGAGCGTAATTAACAACTGTAGCATCGCTGTTATCAGCTGCTGTAATGTCTGAGCCATCTTCGTTTACAATCTTTTGTTTTGTGTAAAGATACATGAGTGCTACATCAATGTAGGCATGGCCTACGCCTTGAACTTCTACTTCGACAGTGCCTGAATCGAGACTGGAGGAAGTAGCCCTATACTCCTGCTCTTGACTTTTTTCTTCAGCTGACTGCGTCACCTCACTTCGAAAGAGATCGAGAGAAGAGGGAAGCGCTTCGGCTGACGAACTGTGCATGAACGCCATTATGAAAAATAATCAGGGGACAACCGTTTAGTGCGGGTTCGACTGACTGAATGACGCTTAGGAGCACGCTTCCTCCTTTTTATAGCTCTACCAGAGCCACTCATGGTGCTGGCTGCCTTCCGCTTGAGATTTTGTACTGCCTCGCCACCGTGTCGCAGGGCACTTTCTTTAAAATTATCACCGCTAGCTACATCTGCGAGAATATGACTGCCTGCCCTGGCCGCCTCCTTCCCTACAACGGCTGCGCCGCTTTTGAGGAGAGGGAGAACGGTGCGAAACAACCCGCCCAGCCAGGAGCCAATCCCGTGACCTTTTTGATAAGGCGCACCTGCGTAGTACTGGCCGCCACCGGCCTGTCTCAGGTAGTACTGAGTAATTTGATCTTGGTAAGTCATGACTGTTGTCTAAAGTGAACCAACAAGGTTGACGTTTCAAATTGAAATGGCATGTGACGCCCAGCGTGGTCCCTTATATCTATTTCCAGGCAGTCAAAGGATTTCGTTTTGAGGTTGAAGTAAATGGGGTGATCGAAATGAACCACAGTCGTGGTTCCATGCTGCGCTTTAATGTCCACGGGGACAGTGCGAAGCAGAGGTGCTCGGGTGTGACCAATAATCTGATCAGACAAAATATTCATGTAAATAAACATCTCGGGTGGCATCCCCAAGCTGATGTCAACTGGTTTTACGCCAAAAATATGTTCGTTTGCAGGATAAGGGCCCGCATGTGCCAAGCCAAGCTGGAGTGCCAGGCGAGGTGAAAAGTGCACTTTAGATTTGTCATCCATATCGAATGGAGAAAACTTAACGCGCTGGTCAGAAAGAAGTTCGTAATACTCTGTGTCCTGAATGGCATCTTCCTCAAAACTTTGCAGAGCGTCGCTCACACTTATAAGGAAATTTTTTGCGTTACTGTACGAGCCAGGTCTAACAGCAACCGTGTCAATGACACTGTCCGACACAATTGTTATTTCGTTTGCCCCCTCCACGACTTGTGCTATCGTGTTAGGATAGTGTAACTCAATGAGCGCGGCTTGCCAACGCCCGTGCAGTTCCATGCGTTGGTCGAGTTCAGTTTTAAAATGGGACGTAGTGTTGTCCGGATAGAGTTTCGGACTTGCATTGCTCGGTAAAAATGCGTAGAAATCCATTATACTAAATCAGAATCTAAAATCCAGGAGCGACTTTTCTCAGGATAACCTCTCCAGTGCACGAAGTGCTGACGACTACCCTTTTTACCTTTGGAGCGCACTATATATGCGATTTTGAATGCCTCGGGCTTGGTGACCTTTTGAAGCTCTGCCTCGTTAAACGTGCCCTGAATCGGATCCTTATCGAGGTCCTCCAAGCGATACACTGGCATCGTATGAGGAATGAC